GTACCTTAATCTTCCCTTATATCTCCTTTTTCTTGCAAAATCGATTCAAATTTAATTCCATGGTCCACTCAGTTGTCGAGCCACCATCGCAGTTTCACTGTGTCTACACAGAAAGCAGAGCATGAGCTGCATGTTTAGCAGAAAAGCAGCAGTGAGCTCTCTGTCTGTGTATTTTCACAGTAGGCGTTTAGATGTTGAGTGTAGGTTATCTGTGTTTTGGAAGTGCGCACAGCCCAATGCACAGTGACAGGTGGATGGGAGGTCACGCTTCACACCGACTGGCTCCAGTAAGTAATTAACCTACTGTATATAACAAAAAAAGGATGTAGCCACCATTGGACACACATTGGCGTCCTGTTTTTGAAGCCTTTAGCATTGTAGTCTATACGATCTTGTTTTTTCCAAAGCTAGAAGTAACCATATGTGGAAAAAGGGGTTAAACGCTAAGCTGTCTGCTGGCAGTAACAGCCAAAGTGCAAACGTACTCTGTGTAAGGGCATCAAACAAACAGATATCGGGTAATTTGTGCCAGTAACCTACCAAATAGCTACTAGCAACTGTGAAAGACACTGAAAGTGACCACAGCCCAGATAATGGGAACTTTAAGGCTCAATGCAACTCACATGGGTGAGTTCACTTCCTGTATAGTTGTCATGAAGCGAAGAAATTGTTAGTAGACCAAATCCAGTTTTTTTTTTTTTAGACCAGGCTGTAAAAGTGTTTATTGCTACTGAAAGAACATCAGGATTGACTCTCTTTTGGAACCAACCTCAAACAGGCCACTGGAGGGACTGCAGTTTTTAGCACCTTCCCATTAGCCTTTTTATCACCGTGTTAGGTTGCTTGATTTTGAGGGGGGAAAATTAGTTTTTCCAAGAAACTCTATTTCCTCATGTGTATGTGTTGGATGAATAACAGTCTCTCTCGGTGATTGAACTGGCTTTATCTGGCTTTATCTATGCGTGTGTTTCTGAAATATGTCTGTAAGAAAGCAAGAACTTGTGGAAAGATGTATTCACGATGTGTTGTTTTTGTTGGTAAAGAATGAATCGTTTTAACGGGAGATGAAAATGAACAAAATCTGGAAAGAAAACAATCTTTCTGATCTTTCGGTTTCCATCTCTTAACCTGACGTTTGATGGAGGCAAACAAGTTGTATGATTGACCGTATTGACAAGCTTAAATAGCCTCATTGGATGAGAAGTGGCCCTTGGGTGCTGCCACAGCGTTTTGAAAAGAACAGGCGGCCAGACAAAAAACCACACATTCATGTACAGCACTACCCCTTTTTGCTACCACAGCACTCTTAACAATTACCTTCCCGCTCTTTAACACACACATGCACGCACACACACAAAGGCTATCTTTATGACTGCAGCATTTCCACCATTCCAGCTCGCTGTGTTTTTCTGCTTTCCTTACCTCCTTCACCCAGAGACCATTAAACTAGATCCCTTCTAAAAGGCTTTAAGGTCTCTCTTGGCTAGCCACTACTTCTCCAAAGCTCTGCCATGACTTTTTTCATGTTTTTAAATCAAAGTCCATGAAAAGTTGAGGGGGAGGAGTGGGAAGCAAAGAGAAATTTGGGATGGGTTTTTGTGTTTGTGGGTTGGAGACAAATCTTAGTTATAAACCCATATGGTGTTACTCACATTCACACAGGGACGCACACATGCACGCACACTCACATACACGGGCTTAATCTGATACGGTACATGGCCTCCTGGCCTGTTCTGCTCTGGTGGGATTTAAGTTTTTTTCCTTCCCTGTCTCCCTTCTCACCTGCTGAGAGTTACTTTAGATTTGTAACCTGCTCTCTTGTGCGTCCGTACGCGTGCGCACACACTTGACTGCACCCACACAGTCCTGCAACACAAACAGCCGTATGAAAGACAGTCTGGAGGTGGCGTCTGCTATGACTCCTTGACTCCCTTACAGAAGGTTCTGATTTAGGGATCGAGGTGGTGTGCGGCTTTTTGATTTTGCTGGTAGTCAACCTGAAAATGTTTTCCTTGATGGTTTTTTGGCAGAGGCCATGTTGGGAGAGCTGTGGCCAGCTCACTTCACCTGCCAGCTGCTCAGATTAGGCTGGTCCAGCTGGAGTTTTTTAAGTTTCATACTCAAAAGACAACTCTGGTTTACTCTTCTCCATATCTCTACCTGGCCCTGCAGATCCGGATCCATATGCATCAGTGTCTCCAAGTGGGATAGCTGACTCACCTTCACTTAATCTTTCCTGACTGAGTGGGGAAGGAAAGTGTGGTGGGTTCAACCTGAGGCACTTTTAAGGTGCATCCAGTTATTGATTGTGCTGAAAAACCACACTCTGTGCAAAGCTCAAAAAGTACTACAGCTTGTATATACAGCAATGTCCAGGAAGAACACTTGTTCTGTTTTGTAGGATTTAAATATTACACTGGAAAAAGGAATTCCTTCAAAAGCTGCACCGAACCTCATATACTGCCCTCCTTAGCACTCCTGTTTTTGATGATTCAATCTATTTACTCTAAACAGGGCGTAATGTTTAAGGCTTCTTAAGAAGGTGACTTCGTAGGTTCTAAATTACCCAAGTCATACAAGTGTTAGGCGTTTCAAACGAAGGCAGGAATGGGACTTCTTTTTTTTGGATTGTGAAGATGTTTCACGTCTTATTCAAGAGGTTTTTTTCAGGTCTAAAACAACTGGGATTTAACCCCTAGTGGTTTCGCTCTCTTGGAGGCAGTTCCGTTTGTCGACTCATTATTGATTATGTGAGTAGTCAGATGAGCCAAGGTGTGTGTGGTTGATCCTTGTGAAAGGAAATTCCCTCCGTAAAGGGATGTGGACTAGAGCTCTTCACACGTCAAACTGTTGTCAAAATGAGCTGAACGTTATGGATTTGTTTTGGCAATATACATATGTTGTTTTTAGGTTTTGTTTTGGTTTTTTTTGCCTCAGGTGTTGACACAAGTTTGTGTCATTGATATCACAATATGACTTTATAGCGGATTATAGCAGTAATACAGAGGAAGATTCTGATTCTGATATCCTTGTTTTCTGTAGTGTAGAAAATCCTCCTGTCGACGTGCAACATTAAATATAGATATAACTCTGCATGCGGGTTGATCAATAAGAATGTAATCTACAGCCACACTAGCAGGTCTGTGAGAATATTTGTCATTTTCAGAATGTTTTGCTATGTGCAAAAATAGAAAGTTCAAATGGTTAATATTACCTTTGCAGGTATTCGATTCAAAGTACAGGACAAATTTCAGCTTGATACGCGCACTACATTTTAAAAAAAGTTTGCTGTTTATTCAGCAAACTATTTCTGAGTCTTGATTTAAAACCTAATGAAAGCAGAGACAACGACCACCCACAGAGCACAGTTAAATATGGCAAAAAGTGTAATTTTCAAACGCCAGCTTTTGTTTTTACCTGGTAAAATTAGATGCTCAGAGGTCTGCTCCTGGATCATCTTTTTAGTTGCTGGATTATAACCTTAAAAGCTATTCTCACATTTTCAGTCACACTTCTTTAGGAACTATTTTACACTTTAAAGGCACTTTAGCTCCATACTGATAAGGTGAAAGACAAAGCTTTTAGCTTCATACGAGGTGTTTTGCCCAGATAACTTGACTTGGTGAAAGATAAATGGACACCTTGTTCTTTCTTTTTGTGATTTCTTTACCCCCTTGAGTTTTCCATCTTACTCTACCTCGACTCAGTAACCTTTAAAGCAGCCTTGTGAGGGGAAGCGGGGCAGGGAAGAAGAGCATCAAGGAAATGAGGAGTCTACAAGTATATAGAATGATCAGTAAAGAATTACAAATAAGTAGTTTGATCAGCCTCAGACGTGACACTATGGGAATAGGTTGCTAGTATTAGATGTCTGATCACAGTTCTACACTGACAAGAGGTTTGACCATAGAGGACATGCAGTACTGTGCAGGAGTACAGTGAAAACTGTGGAAAAATCTTACTGACTGATGATGCTGCAGTGAAGTAGTTTGCAGTAGCCTTCTATGTGTCCCTTTGAGTATTCTTAAACTATCCTGCCTTTCAGTGTTTTTTAGGCATGAGTGCTTCTTCAAGACTTCTAGTAATTTAGAATAAAAATATGGAGCTGTTTATTTCCTTTGAAACATATCAGATATATTTTAGTCTCAGTGCGCTGAATCTGATAAGGAAATGTTGGTGTCTGGATGCATCCATTCCTATTTGATGGGCTTTTTGACCATATTCCGATTTACTTTTCCTGACTTGCTTTTGGGGAATCTCAAAAGTAAATATGGATGATTTTGACAGAGACGCCTAGAAAGCATGATTATTTCTCTCTAATGTTCTTTGTTGTTTGTTTGCTTTGTTTTCTCAGTTAATCAGTGCTGTCAGTTCTCTCTCCCTTTTCTCCTCTTATTTTGTCTTTGTGATTGATGAAGAATTTGAGGAAGCGCCGAGGAAGCCGACAGAGAGGACAAACAATCTTCCACATATTGTTGCGGTGTTGAGTGTAGTGAAGGAGGTGAAGGTGCTATAAATGCCCATATTGATGACTACAGTGGAAGCTGGTGGAAATGTTCTGCTTCCTTATTGATCTAAGATCCATTATGAGCGGTTAGTAGACAGCTGGGTGAATGATGGGGAACGGTCTATCCATCATAAGTCGATGCCCACAGTGCTTGGCACATACTTTTGACTTCTTTTTTCCTTTTCTCCTGTCTGATTCTCCTTTTCTCTTCTGTTGATCAACACAAAGCCTGTTGGAATAAGAGAGCAGACATTTTGGCTCAAATCTGACAGCACCAGTCTGCACACGCTACTGTTGAAAGGCACTCTTAATAGATTTTTTTTTATTCGTTATTTATTTATTAAGCTGGCAAGGTCATCTTTAACAGCAATCTGCACAAGACAGAAAAATGGGAATCCTGATGTTTTTCACTCTGATTTTAACATGTTGACTCTCAAAGTCTGAATGAATGAAACATGTTGAATGAATCCTTCTCTGCTCTTCTGTTTTCCAGGTCACTGATCAGTCTGTGCGGGCAGTAGCAGAACATTGTCCCGAGCTGCAGTTTGTCGGCTTCATGGGATGCCCCGTGACCTCTCAGGGAGTCATCCATCTGACTGCGGTGAGTATGACAGCTATTCTTTACTTGCATTGCTGTAGTTTACCTTGAGTCCTCAGTGAAGGCCCAATCTTCTGAGCTCCAGCAGTGTGTTTACTTACAGTAAAGTAAAAGTGCATCCCGTTGAGCCACTTTAAAGAAGACTAATTTCTCTTTTTCACAGTAATTACTTGTAGCAGTAAATGTCACCACAAGTTCTGGCGTGACCAACATTTTTGTCTAATCCTGTTACTACAGGTCAGCTCTGTGCATTGCCACAGGCCATGCATTGTCACCAGGGGGGAAGTTTAACTTTTGGAGAGTAAACTCAGTGTGCCGGTGTGTATTTTATCTCAGACTTAGTTTTGAAGTTATTTCTCGTTAACTTTTAAATCTCATGAAAGCCTAATGAGATGAATCCTAATAATACACTGCTGTTCTGACTACACCCTGCTGTTTGGATATTACCATGCTAATGAGCAGGGCTCTGTGCTTAAAGGCGTTCCATGCCATATAAACATGGACACACATGCACCCACACACGGTGATTGCCTGAATTGAATTCACCAGAAAAACACTGCACCTTATTTTTCCTCTCATTTATTTCTTTTCCCCCAGCCTAACACCCACATAGGACGTTTGTGCACCCACGTGCGGATGTGCATGTCATGTCCACGTCCACGCATGCTCGTGTAATACAATTCCATTTGCGTTCGATGTACTCCGGTGTACACTTGAGTGTGCGCGTACCTCTGTGGACCTGTGTGCTCCCATTCCTCCTCAAATGCAATTACAGTTGTGTTAATAGGACTGAGGCACCCGATGCCACGCTGCATTATTAGATTAAACAGCAGATTAATTTGTGCTCATGCTTTTGGCCCCCTATCATCTCTGCAGCCTCTGCTGACCTTGGCCATGGTGTTGTAGACAGACAGTAATGAAGCCAGCCAGTCATAACAGCATTAGCATACATGGAGGTGGACGCGTACATACACCTCCGCCCTCACGCACGCACAGAGTCTAGCACACCTCATTATTATTTATTACAGTATTAACCAAGGTGAAGTTTTAGGAGTTCAGGTGAACAAGTTCATAATTCTGATAATGTTTATATATTTTTTTTTTGAAAGATGCAGATTTGTCACACAAGGCGAGGCTAAAAGTCCTGGAAGGACAAAAACAAAAACCAGATTCATAGTAGCTTGTTTTGATGGTGTGGTCGCCCAGTCGACATCAACTGCACATGTTAAAATTTCACAGACACTTTTGGCTTAAAATTGTCTGGTAGTTGTGTTATTGGCAGTGGTTCGCAACTCTACTGGTAAACGTACAGTACCTCTGGAGAAGCTATGGAGTGGACTTTGTGGTAAAACTTTTGTTTACTTTTGTCTTCGAAGTACAAAAAAACGCTTTCAGCCTCATCACGTCTCTCATTATGCGATGTAACCCACGTACACACACAAAAAAATATATAAATAAAGAATATGTTGCATTATTGTAACAATAACAGCAAAATAGTTTAACCAAACCCCACTCTTTAATTGATAAGAAACTTGATGCTGTAATTGAGCTATATGAGACTGAAGAAGACTCGGATGGAGTGAGGAAATGTTTCTCCCACTGAATCAATTTTCTGGGATTTATGCTTGATGTTAATGTAAAAAAACCAAACAGCTTGGTCAGTATGTTATTACTAAATGATTCCAAGCGCTTAAATTCGAACTATACCGTAACTATATTTGATTGAGAGCGCTTCTTCATTCCTTATTCAAAATGTAATGGCGCTCGTTCTTGTTGCTCACAATTAAATCAAAAATAACTCGCTTTTTCTCGAAGGGAGTTGCTATTTAAGCGCTGGAATGATCTTAAATTCTGAAATATGGCGGGTTGGAAATGTTTCAGAGATAACATTTTATTCATTTGGTTTGATTCATCTCTTTCTGTTTCTTTTCTCGTAGCCTCCGTTTTGCTGTCTCTTCCTCTCTCCATCCCTCTATAATCTCTGACAGTAATTATCTCATTTAGCAGTTGATTCCTCCTCTCATTGATTCCCACTCGGTCCCAGCCACTGTCGACTGAAAATCATATTCTCTCTTTTAGAATCGTTGCATTTCTGATGACTCCGTGGACCCGCATGCCATTCCAGGACTGTAGCGCTGCTCTCTTGTTCGATTATTGCGCACTCCCTCCCACTTTCTTCCTCCCTCGATCGCTCTCTCTTTCTCTCCCTCTTGCTGATAATCTTCCTATCTTCCTCACTTGCTACTCAGCTATGTGCAGGAAAAAAAAGAAAGAAAAGAAATCCATTACTTTTATTAACTTCTCTCTTATGACACACTCATTTCAGATTGATAGCCTTTTTATACCGACATTTCAGAAATTAATGTATGAGAAAATCAATTGAAATCATATTTTCTAAATCAAGTGAGCCGATGGTAGAAATAGGCCACCCGCGGCGATAAGTTTGATGCAGATGGTCTGTAGAGTAACTGTAAAGCTGTGGCATTTACGCTCCTCTGATGGTTTTGCCGTGTTTCAGTATCACAGGAGCTGTGCTGATCCGCGCTGATGTGCAACACAACTCGATATTTGTAGCGAGGCGCTGTTTGATAAATCATCATCTTGTTAATAACTAAAAGGCAAAATCAAGATCTCTGCTGGCTGTGAGCGTAGAGCTTTGTAATGGAAAAACAAGTAACACTTTTCCTTTCTGGCTGTAAATTAAACATTATATGCTGTTTCAAACGTGAGAACAAAAACTGATGATTTTAAGAGTAAACGTGTGTCTAATGTGGCTTAGTGTTTTACTGTGCCAGGGATATACTGTAAAAATGTCTTTACGGCTGCTTTTAGATTAAAGCTCAAAGTTGGCTCGAAGCTCTTGACATTAATAAAAGTTTTATTGATGAGGCTTGTCACATCCCAAGGCTGTATAATGGATACAAAACATCTTGGGGTGGAGGCTTTGTGGGTGTCCCGAAGCTTTCAGCGATTCGGCGCTCTCCCTCTCAGCAGCTAATTTGAGAACTTTATGTATATGCGTTCGTCTGTGTAGATCCGCTTGAGATGAATCATTTTCCTAATTCGGTTTCAGAGGGTTCACCCTTTAGTGAAGTCTGCGAGAAGCTGCAGAGGTGGAAGCACAATAGGTTTAGTGTGTGCGTCTGTGGTTGTAGGCGTAAAAGGGTGGAAGGTTCGCTCTGCAGATGCGATTGTGTGTCTGTGCGTATCATTGAGAAAATAGATTTGCGTGTATCTGAGATGGGGATGCATGCTGTGTTTTCTGTGCTGTCTCTTTTCCTCTCTGGCAGTCTCTGATGCACTTTGCTGTTACCTGCACCAGCAGAGTCATTATAAAACTCTTTAAACAGTGCCGTTACCTGTTTATGTCTCTTTCTCTCTCCAATCTCTATCTGGCTTTAGTCTTTGTCACTCAGTATGTATCTCTTTGTCTTTTACTCATGCGGTATGTGTTTTTGTCTTTCTC